ATAATGTGTCTTGGTGACTTTCTTTTGGGATCTACCTTATGTGGGGTTCGATGAGCATCTTGGATAGATATCTTGTCATCTTTCTCAATATCCGGGAAGTTTTCTGCCAACAAATCTTCAACAAGTCTGTCTGCATTTTCTGTTATCCCCCCTGTTCTGGTACTCCAGTCACTTGTAGGTTATTCCTCTAGATATAGTCCGAGATAATTCTTAGGGTTTCTTCATTTTTTAAAATTCTTCTATCTGATTTTTCCTCATATAAGTTTGTGTCAAGTGCTTTACCTTCAATCTCACCAATTCTGACTTCCCTTGCCTCAATTCTGCTCCTATGACTTTCTATTGAGTTGTCTAATTCTGAAACGTTATTATTAATCTTCTGGATTTCTGATTGCTGTCTCTCTATGGATTCTTGCAGCCTGTTAAATTTGTCATTATGATCTTCTCTAATCTTTCTAATTTCCTCTATTGCATGTTTTACATTTTGCTTAATTTCCTTCCTAATTTCTTGAAGAGTTCTGTATATTAATCTTTTGTATTCTGCCTCTGGTATTTCCAAGAAATTTTCCTCCTGTGGATAATTTCTAGATTCTTTATTTTTGGAGCTTGTTGAAGCCTGTTTACGTGATTTGATACTGACTGTTGTCTCCGAGCCATCAATAAGTTATTATATTTATTTATTTTATGTTTGCTTTCTGTGTCCTAACTTCTTGTTTTGTTTTGATATGCGCAAGTCGGCTGCTTATATGAGCTAGTTTGATTATTGGCAACTTTGAAGCATTAATGTCCTATCACCAGGAGGTTAGATCTCTCACTAGGTATGTGAGCTTAGGAGTCTGCCCACTCCTCCTGTATGGATTCAGCTCAAGTGCCCAGGTAGATAGCCACCAAGTGTGTGGTGTAGTCTCTCACTTACAATCCTAGACAGGCATGGGTGATTGGTGTAGGAACAGGCATCTGGCTGTAGCAGTGGGACACACTCTGAGCAAGGTAGGGGGCTGACAGCCGCCCCGAGTGTCCAAGTGTCCAGGAGGAAGGCATGTCCCTATTCCCTAGAGCACATAGGTGGGTGGGTTTTGCAGCCAGACTATGAGCACTCAGTGCTGTTGACTGTAAGGACCGGGGGGCACCTCTTATTCATGGACCCCTATCACAGGTGGCTAGGTGGCATTGTCACGCTTTTTTTTTTTAATCCCCTGTCCTCTACTTTCCAGTGCTATTGTTAGCACAGACTGTGAAAGCACTTTAAAAAAGGAGAAACAGATCATAAAGATCATTGTCATCTTAGTCCTTTCAAACACTAGAAATTCCATAAGGTGGGCATTATGATATGATCTCATAGCTTAGTCATTGTTGGTTGAAAATGTTCCCCCCAAAGAGGTCCAGGTCTTAATCCCCAGAATCTGTGAATATGTTAAATTACATGGCAAAGGCTGCTAATCAGCTGCTTTGAGATGGGGAGATTGTCCTGAATTATCCCCATGGGTCAAATTTAATTTATAAGCATTCTTGTAAGTAGAAGTAACAGGAAGAAATCCGAGAGCGATTTGAAGATACTGCACTGCTTGCTTTGAAGATAGAGTAAGGGTCCATGAGCCAAGGAATGCAGGTAGCTTCTAGAAGATGGAAAAGGCAAGGAACCAGATTCTCCCGTAGAGCCTCTGGAAACATAGCAGCCCTGCTGAAATCTTGATTTTAGCCCAGTGATATCCATTTCAGACTTCGACTTCCAGAAATGTAAGGTAATAAATCTGTTTTGTTTTAATTAACTAAGTTTGTGGTAATTTATTGTAGCAGTAATTAGACACTAATGTAGTAATGGAGCCCTGATGACGTCGTGGTTAAGAGCTCGGTTGTTGACCAACAGTTTGGCAGTTCAAATCAACCAGCTGCTCCTTGGAAACCCTATGGGGCAGTTCTACTCTGTCGTATAGGGTCGCTATGAGTTGCAACCCACTTGACTGCACACAACAACAACAACAATGTAGCAATGAACAACAAATAAGTCTGTCTTTAATCAATACCCTCGGAGAACTGACTTTAGGTCCAATCTTTAGCCAAAACACATGGTCAGATTTGAGGGACACTGGGAAATACTCTTATTCCTAATAATCTTATGCTGAAATGATGCTGAGGATTCTTTGGTTGAATCATTCTCTCCTTTCTCTCCTTGCACAGGGATAGTCCCTCTGGTCTGGACAAACCAAGGATGAAGGGCTCAGGATATAACACAGACTCAAGTGGACCTAAGAATATTTGTATTAATTATTTCATTATCTATTCACTCATCCCTTGAACAAATATTTGTTCAGTAACCTTTGTATTTTGAGCATGGTTGTAGGTGCTGAAGGTACTGGAGAAAAAAAAAAAACCAATTTTCTTGTCTTCAAGGATCTTACCATCTAGAGGCATAGACAAGAGGTTGGTAAACTCTTTCTGTAAGGAGCCAGAGAGTAAATACTTAAAGCTTTGCAGGCTATAAGGTCTCTGTTGCAACAGCTCAACTCTCCCCTTCTAGTGCAAAAGCAGCCTTACACAATATGTAAACAAATGAGGGAGGCTGTGTTTAAATAAAACTTTATTTACAAAAACAAGTACCAGGCCGCATTTTCAACAGAAAGTAGAAAATACACATGAATTAATTTGAGCCACACGGAATTGCTGCTTTTCTAGGTCAAGTATAGTTGATCATTGGCAAATTTCATATACTTCTACCTAATGATTCCAGGTAATGTGCTACCAATACACTCTTTTTTACAAAGATCTCACCATCTTCTAACCTCTTCTGATAATTATATTCAAAGGTAAATTCTCTGATCCTTTGGAAAACTAACTGATGGGATGAAGATGATGATGATGAATGATAATTATGGTGATGATGATATTTTCCTCTCAGGAGGACTAGACTAGAGTTTCCTGAAGGCAGGAATATGGTTACCTTTCTTATGTCTCCCAGAGTGCTGACTCTTGGATTGAGGGTAAAATATGGACTCATGGACTTGTGGGCTGAAAGTGCAGATGCCCAAGTAAGAAAACACCTGATGCTTCAGATTCCAGGATGACTTTATGGATACCTTCTGGTGAGAGGATGGGCAGGGAAAGATCGTCACACAATTAATGAGAATTCATGATGGCTTTTGGAAGAAGGTGATTGAGATGATGGCAGGACCAGCTACATAATTTATAGGCCCAAGTGGAAAATGAAAATGTGGAGCTTCTTGTTCAAAAATTATTATAATTTCAAGATATAAACAGCAGAGCATTAAACCAAGCACTGGCTTTTCTCTGGGCAGGGCCCTGTGTAGACACCAGGGAAACCATCCCCATTAAGCCAGTAAAATACAGATCTGGTCCTTATTATTACCCCCTTAAAGTCTATTAATGTGAGAAACTTCAGAAACTGAGCATAAAATTCAAAAATTCTTCTTTAGTATAACAACATGGAACAATAGTAAATGCAATACGAGGATAAGAAGCAGGAAGTTCCAGATTCAGATTCTGCTTTTGCCAATTTCTAACTGTGTCACCTTAGTAAAATGTGTTCTCTGAAGAAACTCTCTTTTCTTATTTTGAATGAATGGCAAGAAATAGAATTGCTTACTATAAGAATTGTCAGAAAAATTAAGAGGAGTAGATTCTTTTAGCAAAGTTACCTCAAGGGGTTATTTTGGTGTGACTGTACAGCTCTAGAGACATCGGCACTGCAATTGGTCTGCATAATAAATTAGGAACAATGCTGAGGTCCAAATGTATCTGAGGATAAGCTATAATGAGTACAAAATGAGAGGAAGAACTAAGCAGCATGGTGGAATGCTAGATGTTTATATGGAGTGATGATTACAGAAAACAGGTGTTGAGATTGGCCAAGAGACTTTGAAGTAGCAAATATTTAATGTTACATTCTACTTTGTTATCCTTTGCTGCGATATCCACCCACCCCACACACACTTACCCCATGATCCAAAACTTCAAGAAGTTTTACTACCTACACAATTTTTTTTAAGTGGTTGTCTTGGTTTGCTAGTGCTGCCGTAACAAAAAGTACCATAAAGAACGAGGATTCATTGTCTCACAGTTTTGAAGGTTAGAAGCCCAAATCAAGGTATTAGCTCTAGGGGAGAATCTTTCCTTTTTGGTAGCTCCAAGTGTTTCTTGACATTCCTTGGCTTACAGATGAAACTTCAGATGAAATTTGCCTGCCGCCCTATGTGTGTGTCTCTCTGTCTTCCCTTGCATAAGAGACCACTGAGAAGGGATTAGATGTAAGACCCATCCTACTCTGGAATGTCTTGATTAATATAACAAAGAAAAACAGGGTCACACTCACAACTACTAGCGTTAGGACTTCATCTTCTGGAGGGACAAAATTCAATCTATAACAGTGGTAATTTGGAAGATAAAGTTTTAGGATAGTATCCAAATGGGGACGAGTGAGACAGAAAAGTTGTAAAATACAGAATGAAGACTGGGAATTTTCCAGGTGCAGGATGTTGAGGATAGAAATGATGAGTCATGCAAGAACATCTAGAGATGTTGGGAGGGACCCTGGGTTACTCATCACTTGTAGGATAATGTTCAAGACAATTTTACTTTAGTTAGAGAACCAGTTAACCCTGTGAGAAGCTTAATCAAGAAGCTCTGGAGACATAAGGACTGATATTTGAGCTCCATTTTTGGAGGGAATAACAGTAGATACTTATTAGAATTGTGAAATTAAACAAGAATATTATGCAAAGGGCCAAGTACAATAACTGTTAGATAGTAGGTGTTCAATAAACATGAGCTTTCTTTTCCCACTTTGCCTGATCACATATAGAGAATAAACAAGGAGAGATGTGGGATGCAGCCCTAACTCCTAAATAAAATATTGCCCTATTCTCAATCACTTCAAAGTTCCCAAAATGATGTAGCAATTAAAGAATGCTGATTGTTACTTTTGCCAGAACCAGGGCCCCCGCAATCTGCTTCCCCTACAGTAGTCTGTGAAAAGAGGAAGCACTCACCATTAACATGGAGCTGTTCATAGCACAAATTTCTGGCGTCTGACTATAGTCACAATGAAGGTAGCTGAATTAAAAACTATTGAGGCTGAGTATGATCCCTGTGGTGACCATGGCTGAGCTGATGATATTCAGTCCTAGGCTACCTTGATCCTAGAAAGGAATAAAAATCTATCAAACAGGGCAACAACATCCTCAGATATGCCTCCATCCTTCACAAGCCCTGCTTCTTCCCCAACACCGTCATCTTCTCCAGCAATAGTCTCCTAACTTGTCTCTTTCCTTAATCAAAAAACCAAACAAACTGTTACCATACAGTCAATTCTGACTCATGGCAACCCTATGTGTTACAGAGGAGAACTCCTCCACAGGGTTTTTCGTTGTTCTATTGTTGCTGAGAATATATACAGCAAAATATACACCAATTCAACACTTTCTATGTGTATAATTCAGTGACATTGACTACATTCTTGCAGTCCTGCAACCATTTTCACCCTCCTTTTCTAGCTGTTCCTCCTTCATTAACATAAACTCTTTGCCCCCTAAGGTTTCTATTTAATCTTTGAAGTTGCTGTTGTCACTTTGATCCCATAGAGATAGTTTCTAAGAGTATAATGCTCAAGGCAGACATTTTTTACTAGTTAAGCTAAACTATTATGTGGTTTTAAGAAGACTTTATAAGGTTTTTCTAGTTGTAATATTACGAAGTAGATTTCCAGGTCTTTTTTCTGTGGCACCACTGGGTGGGTTTGAATGTCCATCTTTAGGCTAGTAGTGAAGTGCAAACCATTTGCACCTCCCAGGAGTTTAATCTCTTGCCAGAACACAAATATGATCTGTCATTCCCAAACTTGTATCCTTCAGATCACTCCCCTAGGAATCTCATTAGAGGGATTACAATGCTCTTTATACTTTAGTTGGACGTATACTATGTCCATCTCCTACCATGTCATACTTCTGATGCATGATTGCTTATCATTCTCTAAATGCTGCTTGCCTTTCATGCCTCTATGCCTTCTGCATACTATTTCCCTCCCCTGGGTATTCCCTGCCATACATTCTCTTCTCATGGGAAAAGGTATGGAGGCCTTTTATAAAAACTAAAATTTCTCAGGAACGAGTGAAAGGTTGGGTGCGACTGTAGCAGTAGGCATATTTTAGTGCATCAAACTGGATGAGAAGCTAAGGAGGCAGCTTTGAAAAGGCCATCATGAACATACTCCACAGTTTAGTATTTATCCTTTGAGCAAAGAAAATTCAACTATGATCTTTTGGTATGAAAAACGTTTGATGAAATTTGGGTTTTTTGCCTTTTATTGGCATGTGAAAAGACAGCGTGGCATGGGAGTTATGTTTTAAAATTGCTTCTTCTTTAATAGCCTTAGTGTGAATTGTATTTTATTGCAATCTGAATCAAAATCCTTTTAGGATTCAATTTTATTATACATTCTAATCATTCAGTTAATAAATATTATGTCACACCTACACTCAGTGCCATTGTCATGTGCTGGATCTCAAGTTGCAGGGATCTTTTGACTGCTTCTATTTCACATTTCCCCTAAGGAATCCTCTGTATCTTCATAAAGATTCCCTCAGCAACTACCTCACCAAAATATTCCACCCTGTGTCAGAAATTCTATCATTGGCCAATTGGCAGATGAGCTATTTTGAAAGACCAGTTTAAACAGTTCAATCTCACAATCTCTCCTGCTTGTTTAAAAACAAACAAAATACGGGGCCATCAAGTATCATCAATCCTCTTTTGGTACAAAAAAAAAAAAAAATATGAAACATTACTCACCAGACACTCTGTATCTCTCTTTCCTGCTGCAATTGACAAGGACCCTGAAACAATAAACTAGTAACAAAAAGAAAAATGAAGGTAAAATTTTAAGCAAATATTTGAAGACATAATTTACCAAAACTTACCCCTAAATTAGATATAAACATTAAATCGACCAATTATCTTAGAAGACACACAAAACTTTGTAAATAATCCCCACCGCCTCAAGAAAGAACAGAGAAATTCCTTCAGAGGCTTTTGAACAACAGCTAATAGTAGTGGTATTTAAACAGTTCCAGAGCATTGAAACATAGAGAAAGCTTCCAAATTCCTGATACGAATTAACACTAATATTGGTACCAAATTTGCACAAGATAATACAAAAAGAAAAAAGAAATTAAGACTCATTTCTTTTTAAAATATCTATTAAAACTAGTAAACAAAGGAGTAGGAAAGAAAAATTTCTAATTCCTTATTAGATGATTAGGATCTACTAGTTCATTTGACTGCAACGATTGTGTAGCTATTTTCCTTTTGGCAATAATTGCTAGAATCAAGTCAACAGGCTCCCTGCTGACTATTCAACTGTTTGAGTTCTGAGGTTTGTTTTGACACTTTGATTTCAAAAGTTACAGAAAAATTGTATTTTAGTACCAAAAAAAATGACCAATATAATGAAACAACATGATAAATTACTTTAATAAATGTCTAATGTCAAGGCATTTGTTGTTGTTGCTAGGTGTGCTTAAGTCCATTGCGACTCATAGTGATCCTATGTACAACAGAATGAAACACTGCCCGGTCCTGCCCTATTGCCTCACAATCATTGTTATGTTTGAGCCCATTGTTGCAGCCACTGTGTCAATCCATCTTGTTGAGAGTTTTCCTCTTTTTTGCTGACCCTGTACTCTACCAAGCATGATGTCCTTCTCCAGGGACTGATCCCTCCTGATAACATGTCCAAAATATGTGAGACAAAGGCTCACCATTCTTGCTTTTAAGGAGAATTCTGGCTCTACTTATTCCAAGACAGATTTGTTCATTCTTTTGGCATCCATGATATATTCAGTATTCTTCGCCAACACCACCATTCAAATTCGTCGGTCGTTCTTTGGTCTTCCTTATTCATTGTCCACGTTTTGTACGCATATGAGACAATTGGAAACACCATGGCTTGGTCAGGTGCAACTTAGTCTTCAAGGTGACATCTTTGCTTTTCAATACTTTAAAGAGGTCTTTTGGAGCAGATTTGGCTAATGCAATCTGTCTTTCGATTTCTTGACTGCTGCTGTCATGGGTGTTGATTGTGGACCTAAGTAGAGTGAAATCCTCGACAACTTCTGTCTTTTCTCCATTTATCATGATATTGTTTATTGGTTCAGTTGTGAGGATTTTTGTTTTCTTTATGTTGAGGTATAATCTACAATGAAGGCTGTGGTCTTTGATCTTCATCAGTAAGGGCTTCACGTCCTCTTTGCTTTCAGCAAGCAAGGTTGTGTCATCTGCTTAACCCAGGATGTTAATGAGTCTTCTTCCGATCCTGATGCCGCCTTCTTCTTAATATAGTCCAGCTTCTCAGATATTTTGCTCAGCATACAGATTGAATAAGTATGGTGAAAGGATACAACACTGACACACACCTTTCCTGACTTAGAACCATGCAGTATCCCCTTGTTCTGTTTGAACGACTACCTCTTGATCTATTCACAGATTCCTCATGAGCAAAATGAAATATTCTGGAATTCTCATTCTTCAAAATGTTATCCATAATTTGTTATGATCCACACAGTTGAATGCTTTTGCATAGTTAACAAAACACAGGTAAGCATCTTTCTGGTATTCTCTGCTTTCAGCCAGGATCCATCTGACATCAGCAATGATATCCCTTCTTCCACATCCTCTTCTGAATCTGGCTTGAATTTCTGGCAGTTTCCTGTTGATGTACTGCTGCAGCCACTTTTAAATGATCTTCAGCAAAATTTTACTTGAGTGTGATATTAATAATATTGTTATATATATTTCACATTCTGTTGGAATACTTTTCTTTGGAATGGACATAAATATGGATCTCTTCCAGTCATGTGGCCAGGTAGCTATCTTCCAAATTTCTTGGTATAGACAAATGAACACTTTCAGCAAGGCATCCATTTTTTGAAACATCTCAGTTGGTATTCCAGCAATTCCTGGAGCCTTCTTTTTCACCAATACCTTCAGTGCAGGTTGACCTCTTCCTTCAGTACTATCAGTTCCTGATCATATGCTACCTCCTGATATGGTTGAATGTTGACCAGTTCTTTTTGGTTTAGTGACTATGTATTCCTTCCATCTTCTTTTGATGCTTCCTGTGACCTTTAATATTTTCCCTGTAGAATCCTTCACTATTGCAACCTGAGGCTTTAATTTTTTCTTCAGTTCTTTCAGCATGAGAAATGCAGAGCGTTTTCTTCACTTTTATTTTTGTATCTCCAGGTCTTCACACATGTTATTGTAATAATTTACTTTGTCTTCTTGAGCTGCCCTTTGAAATCTTCTGTTGAGCTCTTTTACTTCATCATTTCTTCCACTGGCTTTTAGCTACTGGATATTCAAGAGTAAATTTCAGATTTTCTTCTGTCATCCATTTTGGTCTTTTCTTCCTTTTCTGTCTTTTTAATGACCTCTTTCTTTCTTCATGTATGATGTCCTTGATGTCATCCCACAACTCATCTGGTCTTTGGTGATTAGTGTTCAATGTGTCAAATCTATTCTTGAAATGGTCTTTCAATTCAGGTGGGATATGCTTAAGGTTGTACTTTGGCTCTTGTAGAATTGTTCTGATTTTCTTAAGCTTAAACTTGAACTTGCATATGAGCAATTGATGGTCTTTTACACATTTGGCCCATGTCCTCGTTCTGAGTGATGATACTGAGCTTTTCCATTGTCTCTTTCCACAATGTAGTTGATTTGATTCCTGTGTAATCCATTTGGTGAGGCCCACCTGCATAGTTGCTGTTTGTGTTGTTGAAGAAAAGTATTTCCAATTAATAGGTCGTTGGTCTTGCAAAGTTCTATCCTGTGATCTCCAATGTCATTTCTATCAACAAGGCCATATTTTCCAACTGATGATCCCCCTTCTTTGTTTCCAACTTTCACATTCCAATCACCAGTAATTATCACTACTATGTGGTTGGTGAGTGAATTTGAAACATAGTCCCTTGTAGGAGTATGGATATTATCTTATCACTGACAGCATTTTACTACAGGATAGATCTTGAAATGTTCTTTTTGATGATGAATGTGTTGGCATTCCTCCTGAATTTGTCATTCCCGGCATAGTAGACCATAGGATTGTCTGATTCACAACAGCCAATACTACTCCATTTCAGCACACTAATGCCTAGGATATCAATCTTTATGCATTCCGTCTCATTTTTGACGACTTCCAATTTTCCTAGATTCATACTTTGTACATTCTATGTTCCAATTATTAACGAATGTTTGCAGCTTTTTCTTTCCATTTTAATTCATGCCGTATCAGCAAATGAAGGTCCCGAAAGCTTGACTCAATCCAAGTCATTAAAGTCAACTCTACTTTGAGGAAGCAGTGCTTCCCCAGTCATATTTTGAGTGCTTCCAAGCTGAGGGGTTCATCTTCCGGCACTATATCAGGCAAATTCTGCTGCTATTCATAGTGTTTTCACTGGCTTTGTTTTTTTTTTTTTTTTTTCAGAAGTAGACCTCCAGGTGCTTCTTCCTAGTCTGTCTTAGTCTGAAAGCTCAGCTGAAACCTGTCCAATATGGGTGACCCTATTGGTATTTGAAATACTAGTGGCATAGCTTCCAGCATGACAGCAATATGCAGGCCACCACAGTACTACAAACTGACAGAGAGTGGTGGACCTAAATCACAGTAAGAGTTTAATGATAGCTGTTACTGGCATTGGAGCCCTGGTGGTGCCGTGGTTAAGCATTCAGCTCTTACCAAAAGGTCAGCAGTTCAAATCCACCAGCAGTGCCTTGAAAACCCTATAGGGCAGTTCTACTCTGTCCTATAGGGTCACTTTGAATCAGATTCGACTGAAGGCAATGGGTTTGGTTTTTGGTTTTGGTATTATTGGCATTAATATTATTAGATATATAAAGCATTCCCAGACATAAGACAGTGTTTGCTATACTTTAGACTTTGAACCTTTGCTGTAAATAGGTGAAGGGGAGCATAAAGCCTACTCTAAACTATCTCTTCTCAACTTTGTAGAGGTAAATAAATGGAAGCCCCTGAATGCCTGAATCAGTTCCTTGATTTTAACATAAGTATTGTTATAAGTTTTCTCCTATTGTTAGTGGATGAAACTTGATACTTTATTCTCATTAAACTCTCAATTTTCAGGGAATTTTTTTTGTGTTTATTGGGGGGGGGTACTTTTTAAATTTTCTTTAATTTTAATTATGTTTTTAAACTTAATTTTAAAAATAGTTATTGTTATTAAACTTATGAAACAAAATTGATCTAATAGTCCCATAAACAATTTTACTAAGACCTTGTAGTCATTGGGTCAGACACTATAAATTGCCTGCATAACAACCACCTCACTTTTTCTTCCCTGCTAACAAAACCATCATTTTGTTTAGTGCCCCATTAGCTTCAAGGTAGAATGAACCCTCCCCAGTCACAGTGATGAATCTTGATAAGTCCAAACCAATAATGGCAAGTCTATCTCCACTGCCCATAGTTAGTTTGGGAATATGCATACAAAACATCTCTGAACACTAAGGTAAGTCAAGAAGTCTGATATGGTCTACAGGAGTCCTTCATGAGGTCCTGCATCACCAGCCAAGGACCAACCTGGAAATGACTTGCCACTGACCTTCTCATTTGGAAATAATCAATGCTTTCAATATTTAAGCCATTCCGGTTTGGGTCTTTGGTTACATGCTGCTGTAAAACATTATAATTGATATACATTAAATATTTAATTTCCCTAATTTTCTATGTCTTTTATATTATTATTCTCTCATTAAATATGAAAAAGCTGAGTCAGACGGAGGTTAAATATATTTTTCAAGGTTATAGAACTACAAGGTAGAGTTAGGACACT